TCTCTTTACGAGTTTAAGTGTGGTGCTGAGAATGGCAAGATTCACTGACGATTCCGGCGAAACGTCTGTCCACGGTCCGACTCTAGAAATTATCATGCATACAATGGACTCCGAACTAGTTGTGTTCTTCTAGGTCTTCCTACCAATATGACCAAGTTACGAAAACAAGGTCAAACAGCTTCTATACGACGAAAGGAGACTGCGACCACACAAAAGGCCACACCATCTTGGTCTTCATATCTTCGATTAAGGCAAGTTTTGTCTGATACTCTTAGCTCTGAGGATTCCCTGAAGCCTCAATAAATTGCGGACAAATTATTTAATGTGTTATTTCATCGAGTGAGGAAGAGTCACGATATGAAACTTAAGAACCTAGGAATTAGAATTTGATGTTTAAATAACAATCGGAATTCATCCACATAAGAAGAGAAAATGAAGATAGGTCGGGAAGTTGTTAACCTGTCAAAAATATCATTGGACAGTACTACTGAGGAAGTTATATCCAGACGTCTTAATTATGTTTTGCCAAATCGTAAGAGGTTCACTGATGAGATTTTACTAGAAGTTATTAACTGTACTGACTGATTAGCAGAATAAACTAGAAGTGATATTGAAATTCAGGTTGTTCCTCTAATTTCTAACCATGCAGAACCACCAAATAAGAATAGATGGGTTAATAATATCACAAGACAGCTCGGACAACACGAGCAAAAAGTTTTGAGGATAGACAACGAAGGAGCTGTGGTAGTTATGGATAGGACCGATTATAGAGAAATGATGATACTGGCTTTAGCTGACAAACACGCATCTATAAAGCTGTAATAAGACTCGGAACTACAGGACTATACTACTATGCACAGACAAAAGTTGTGATCACATCTGCTCCCCTTCCTGCATCACTTTGATCCGCTAATACATGTAGAGCAAGCATAAAACAACCAACCGAATCATGGAATGCCTCATTAAGATTGCAATATGAGGTATAAGAAGTAAGTAGGATCTCAGCTGGCCAGTATCAATGTATTAAGAGATCATTTGAAACCCAGTTTCTCTTCATAATATAATAATTATTTTGCATTTGGGTGACGGGATCTAGGCAAAGAAAGAAGAAATAAATGTGTAACTAAATTTCTCTTATAGATATGAAGACCAATGTGTTGTGGTCGCAGTCTCCTTTCGATGTATTGAAGTGGTCTGACATCGTTTTCACAACTTGGTCGTGTTGTCATGGCAACCTAGTCGGATGCACATTGTCCAAAGTACTCTGCAATGATAGTTATCATTATTCCCGGCGTTGGACCGTGGACCTTTTTACATTCCCAGAATTTTCACTGGCATCGTCAGTGATTCTTGTCATTCTTAGTACCAAGCTATTACTCGTCAAAGAGACAAGTGGGATACTCAAGAGAAAACTATTCAAAAATAAGTCATATGATTGAATAATACTCAATTCCAAATCTCGTCAGAACTACAGAATAAAGATAGAAATAGTGAGAAACATGATCATCAGAAGCCTACGATTGACGGTTCTGGGATTCTGTGATTTAGAATTGGACAAAATGACTAGGATATTTCTTGGAAACGGATGCCCAAGGGAAGCACAGGCCGCGAAAAGCCGATGGCGGGAGGGAGATTATGGAAGAAGAGTAAGGATGGAGAAAGATTAACAGAGGTGGATATGGCTAACTTCCTGCGTACTAGCTCAAAAACTATGGCCAATATTAAAAACAGAATATTCAGATGACTACGTTGGAAAAAAACACTACTCGTCACAAATTTAACCACGTAACATGAGAAGGTAGACAGAGTGAATTGCTCGGGAGTTTACTGCTTAGCATGCAAGGCCTGCAAGCAGAAATAGATTGTCTGAACAGGGATAGAATTGGCATATGAGTCAAGGAACATCAATGGATCAATGCAGGAAAATGGGTACATGATCAATTGGAAGGTAACAGAAAAATGGGTCTCATGGTGAAAACGCAAGGAGACGAAAAATTAGGGAGGCCATTGACATCCTTGCGGAAAAAATCTAATGAACAGGAGATTGAAGGAAGGCATAGTTAGCAATACCTTTATCTATTGCCTAAGCAAACTTGGCAAAAAAACAAGGATATTACAAGATTAACAACAAGGGCACGCCTGGATCCAGGATCTATCGTCAACCCAAAGGAAAGGGATCGCAAGTCAGAGGCGCGTGAGGGAGTTTCGGAAATCAAGCGAAGCCGTTTTCAGTGAATGTGATCTGCCCGAAAAAACAACTACAACTTTGAGGGCCTGGCGGTCACGGAACTAGAGAGATGGATGATCACAACCGTCACATAAATTCGGCATTATGGCCAAAATGTACTAGAACTTGGACTGGAACCGAGTGAAATCCGTAAACCAAAAAGATTATAAAAGGATCTACAACCTCATGAGAGAGATCCGGATAGGACGCCCTAGTTGGATAAACAAATCGAGAGGGACAAGAGTTAGGTAAGCTGCAGGTGTGAGGATGCCACATTAAACTCACCAAAAAGTGGAATATAGACAAATCAGAAGTGTTCGTTGAGCAGGCGTGAGATAAGAGGTAGATGGGCCAGGACAGAAAGAGGAGCATAGCACAACCGTTTCGGCAGAAAATCTGGTCAAGGGATTGACTTCACTATTGTCGTCTGAGAATATTCCAAGTATACTGTATAATGCAGGGACTTATGATAACTACTATGGCAAAGGACTTCGAACAAGGTGTGTCCAACTATGTAACCCTGACGACAAGGCCAAGTTTCGAAAACGAGTTTAGACCACTTACAAATTCCTTTTGTTTTTTTTACTTCCATCTGTTGTTCATATTCGTTCATATATATATATATATATATACTGCTTTGCATGTACATACTTTATCAAGAAGAGATTTTTAAATACTTATATTTTAAGTTTGGCAAAACAACAAGCTGCTATACAATTAATTAACGTTTAAGAATTACTTAACATTCTAACTACATTTTATTTTTCTTAACAGCATGGCTCTTTCTTCTCTCGCGTCGCATCTTCTTTGCGTAACCATCATTTCGCTGGGATGACTAGTGGACTTTCAGAAACCTCTTCAATATCCTCATCGGTTCATCTTGCCAATGGGGAAAAAACATTTTCTTCAGACGTCACCCCTCCTATTCGCCCGCCTCCCTCCTACTTAGACTTCACTGATTCCGCACAGAAAACATCTATAAACCATTGTTCCGGACTCGATTGTAATGTTTTGACGGCTTCTCCTACTAGAACTTCTCCTTCAGTCCAGTTGAGCCCCGACCTTCTTCAAAATTCATTACCTTCATCTTTTAGAAAGGAATCTCCTAGTGGACGTAAGATTCCTGTTAAATATCAACGGTCCGATTCCCCTATGGATTGCAAGTCTTCCATCAGATCAGGGTCAAGATGCAGCAGATTTGGCCTTCTAGCACGCCAATTAAGATCCTCATCTCAGCAAACTACCGAACAAACCGTCGAAATGCATGGTCAAAAAAATAGCATCTCTTCAATTATGGGGCATGCTGCTTCTCCTGTGAATGAGCATGGATTTTTCCCTGAGACGGGATGGAATGAGGAAGAGGGTCAAGATCACAAAAACGCATGCGTAACTAAGTTTACAAACAACAATGAATATCAGCAGCATTCGAAGGACGATTGGCCTTCGCTAACCAGTCTAAACATCATCGGTTGGGCTAAGGTAGAACGCTCATACCGTGGTCATGATAACAGAGAGCTGTCTATATTAGAAGGTGATTATTCATGGAAATGCGATTGTTTATTTTGTTTACTTCTGTATAACTACGTACCTGTTCTTATTTTCTGCTGAGATCAACTTATGAATCTCTTTACCTTGCCATTTCAAATAAAATAAAATTCAGCCAAAATTTGTAACCAAGTAGATTTTTTTAAATCTCAGTATTATTTAGTCTTTTAGATAACTTTACTTGCTAAATTATTTGAGTAGCGTGTTTTAATATATAAAATATGTAACTACTTGGGCTGGATTCAGGTTTTATAGTGATTCGCCTGCTCCCCTTAGATTCATGTCTCATTTCAGATTGACTTATGTAGGAGACAGAAAAATATCCGGCTCTTCACAGAATAATCAAAGCATTTTAGGTTTAAATCCGGCTACTCAGCATGCTGTTTTTGTGTGGTTATCTTGAGAAAAGGTTATTCTATGAAGGTATCGACGTTTGATTCATTGGGGTGCAAGCACAATGCGATGAGGATCTCTATACTCAGATACACGTTTGTCCTTTAAAGACCAACGTCTATTGGTTGCTATTTTCCCTAGCAATCAACATCGCATGGTTTTGAACCATTTCGTATGTACGTTAGATGTCTGCATTATATTCTCTGATCATCAGCATAAATCTTCTTTGAAGCAGCCTATCCTAAATTCTACTTATTTATTTGTTTGCATACAAGCGGTATCTTTCCACATTTTACGTGTTTACATCTTTAGCGCTCTTGTCTAGTCAGAATTCTGCTCAGAAGGCTTTCGATACTGGTGTAAAATGAAAATGAGTAAGTTAAGTAATAGCGGTAGAAAAGTCAAATCGTATCTTTATTACTTTTGTGTAGTTCAGCTTCTGAACCCTGATATGCCGAACTGTGGATTTCTTAAATACCAAATCCCATCTGAATTTATCAACAGGAACCTGCATTATGTTATTCTTCCTAGTCTGAAATTTTTTAATTTATCGTTAAAAAATATTTTATTAGTCTTAAATTGATGTGTTACCTTGTTATTATTAAGCCATTTGTTCCTCGTTTTATTTACTTTTAGGTGACATCGTTAGCATCTACAGAAAGGAAAATTCTCAATGGTGGTTCGGTGAAGTCAACGGAGAGCGCGGCCTTTTTCCTGTCACGCACGTAGAAGAGTTCTAATTTTTGTTAGATTAGATATTTTGCAACTTCCTAAGCTGGTTCTTAACCATTTTTACTTCAGATGATTTTTAGTTTAGAAGCTTTGTTAATGGGCCTTAATTCGGTCTAGTAGTGTGAATAGTCAGCTACGTGTCTTTCAATCTATCTTACTTCTGGAGGCTAATGAGTCACAGACATTGATATTACTTATGGAATATTTTTCCATTATCCTATCTTATACTAATCCATATCCCACTTTCATTTGTCCTAATGAGTTTACTCCTTCCTCATCATTTTTCTGTATATAAATCACGAAATAGCGAAGTAAACGGCTAAGGTACCTTTACAAATGTATCTGCTTCTCATTAACCTTTTCCCTATCCTTAACTATGAACACTGGGAGCCCAAACTTCTTTTTTCCTTATATTTATGTTAGTATGTTTTGTAAATAGTCGTTTTTTCTTTATTTTCAATAGCCTTTCTAGATTACCGCATATCGTTAATTCAGTTTCAAAAATGTCTATATTCTTCCTAATATTATGCACTCTTAATATTTTTACTGTGTTTTCTTCCACAGATTAGCTCATGCATTTTATGATTACCCACACGTCCTCAAGTTGTGGGATTTTTACAATGGAATGGATTTTTTTTCTTTCTATTAAAGCTGATTGTACCACAAAGCACTAGCCATTCGTTTTCCAATGCGTCCATGCTCTTTGTACTAAACCATCGAGGCTTTTCCTTTGCGCTGTAACGTTTCACACTAAACTGCATGCCGATTATAACGACAGACCCTTCTGGGCATATTCGATAGGAATTTTATAACTATACTTTTCAATTAAACTGAAAATTTCTATTTATTCAAATTCCATCTTTTTCTTCATATTATTTATGCTTTACTTTTGCGTTTTTCTTTTCTTTGTTTTTTTTTCAATTATCAGCTTTTTCTCGCAGTTATATTGCCTTGACATAAAGAACTCGAGAGACTCATTGGTGCTTGCCTTTAAATGCTATGACTTATTTTAATTTGAGCTTTTGCAGCATATCTATTAAACTATAAATTATAATTCCATTTAAACTTGAGTATTTCCCTGACTTTTTACATATTCGCTATCTCTCTTGATTTTATGTTTACTCTTAATCTTAGTCATATTTACGGGCTGAGCGCAAAGATTTTCACTTATACTGCGTCCCTTACAATTTCAATCTTCTTTTGATTCATGCTGAACCATTGTGAGCTTGTTTTTAGAGGCCTTTTAAGAAA